TGAATGCTACAGAAGAATAAAGCTGCATACAAGGCGGACATAACACCTGTAACATCTTCCCCTTTTCATATTAACAACAAACAACGCTGTAGAAGTATACATATAACAAGAACAACTAAAGGTAAATCCTAGAGTGGCAGGAAATGTGTCACAGAACAATGGAGATGAATGCTAGAGAGGAATAAAGCTGCATACAAAGTGGACATAACATTTGTAACAGTCTCCTGCCCCATCTCTAACTAGCGCTGATCCTGTTTAACTAGAACAAGGTTGTCCAAGTGCCAGAAATTACCAATTGGGTTTTAATCTTACCTGAGTTTTTGAGGAAATCAATTAGTCGGTCTGTTTATCCAGAATCTTCCACATGTCAGGATTCCTTGCTAAAATAAAGCAAGGTCATGCACACACTTGAAAATAAATCAGGAAGCCTGTAATTGTGGAGTCTGCCTGGCAAGAACAAAGAATGCTTATCTACAGGAAATTTGCATGTGTAAATCTTGTAACAATCCTGGCTAATCCGAAAGCTGATAAAAGTAACATGAGTTAAGAGAACTTGCAGACCTCAGCTAATAGTTAGGAATAGAGATGCCCTGCAGCAAATCAAATGTGTATTAGATAACTCCTAGGGCATTCATTAGCCAAGACTTAGGAATAAGGACAGCTAGAGACCAATAGAACAAATGGTAGAATTATTACTAAAATGTTTATTAGAGGATATTTCTTATTATCTCGCTTTGTCCCACCTTGTCCATTAGTGAAAAGGTATAAAACTTACTCAATCCTTTGTTCTTGGCTCTTGGCGTTTTGATCAGGAGCCCCTTTCCTTGGAGTATACTCCAACAAAAAGCAATCAGAAAACCTGCACCTCATGTCTGGTGTCCATCATTGGCTTTCGGCACCAGGCTCAGACCCGAATTGGGGACAACAACTTGTTGTATTTATGATTATTATAGTGTCCGGGGTCATGTGATCACCTTTTGCAACCTTCTGACAAGCAAAGTCAACAAGGAAGCCAGATTTCAATTAACAACTGAGTGACTAACTTAACAAGTGCAATGATTCGCTTAACAACTGTGTCAAGAAAGGTCTTAAAATGGGGCAAGACTCACTTAACAATTGTCTTTCTTAGCCACGAAAATTTTGGGCTCAATTGTAGTCATACGCCCAGGATTCCCAGTGTGGGAATACAGTCATATAAGAAAGAAGCGAGGGGAAAGTGGGGAGAAACACCCGAAGAGAAAAAACAAAAGGAAAATCTCCTTTCTCTTGCAATCCAAATCCCTAACCCAAGGGTCTTCCAACTTGGCAAGTTTAAGCCTTGTGGACTTCAACTCCCAGAATTCCTGAGCTAACGTGACAGGAGGAAGAATTGTGGGAGTTGAAGTCCGCAAGTCTTAAAGCTGCCAAGTTTGAAGAGCCTGCCGAAATCAATGCACCTGATTTTCAACTGCCCTAAACAGAGGATACACCAGGTCATGTTCAAGAAATCATCGAATTCCATCATGGAATTTGGGAAGTCTATAAAGGTAGTCCCTGACTTACACCAGTTCCTTTAGTCACTGTTTAAAGTTACTACAGCACTGAAAAAAGCGACTCATGACCGTTTTTTCACACTTATCTTTGTAGCACCCACTTGATCATGTGATCAAAATTGAGACGCTTGGCAACTGACTCCTACTTATGACCGTTGCTGTGTCCCAAGGTCATATGACCACCTTTTGCAACCTTCTGACAAGCAAAGTCAGTGGGGAAACTAGATTCAGTCACCAGCCGGGTTACTAACTTATCAAGGGGTCACTTACCCACTGCCTAAGAAAGGTCGCAAAGTGGGGCAAAACTCACTTGACAAATGTCTCACTTAACAACAGAAATTCTGGTCTCAACTGCAGTCCTAAGTCAAAGGCTACCTGTACATCACCGGGAACAAAATAATTTGGGCCATGCAGTTTGGAATTCATTTATCTTGGTTATATTGTTAAATATAAATCGCCTTAAGGTAACTCTCAAAAAAGCGTTAACGTAAGACTTTTTTTAGCCCGGACGAATGGCTAAAAAAAATTATTTTTAAAAATTGCACATATCTTTTACAACTCTTTCTACAGCTCAGTGGACCTGCACTGGGCTGTGGCATGTCAGAAACCGGGCTGAGCAAACCAGCCCCATCTGCAGGATGTAGGCAGCACACGAAACCACACCCACTCTGGTCCGAGGAAAAACCTCTCCCCACGGAACCAGTCCCTGGTGCCCAAATGGTTGGGGGCCACTGCTATAGCTTGGTGGTTCTTCCTCTTCTTTTTCTTCCCTCTACTGGGGTACACTTCCATCATATTTAGTTCCAAAACTCCTTTAGCCATCAATTGTGACAACCAAGATGCACAGGGATAATCCCATTAAAAGACTTCCTGTTCCTCGTATCTGGGCATGCCTGGAGTGTAAGCGGAGTGAGAGGAAAGTTCCCTTAGGCTACCTCAGCCTTCCTCTCACCTATTTCTATGTCTGGTTCAGTTATAGGGCAAGGCAATTGCTCTATCAAATCTGTCCTCGTGTGAATGTATGTTTCCTCACCAGCATGGATTCTTTGATGGTAGTTAACGGCACTGCTACTGCTGAAGCTCTTTCCACACGCCGTGCATTTATAGGGTTTCTCCCCCGTGTGAAATCTTTGATGGGAAATCAGTTGCCCTTTCTGAATAAAGCTCTTTCCACACTCTGCGCATTTATAGGGTTTCTCCCCAGTGTGGATTCTTCGATGGTAGGCAATGGCACTCTTGCTACTGAGCGTCTTCCCACACTCCGTGCAGGTATACAGTTTCTCACCTGTATGGACCCTTTGATGGGAAAGAAGTTGTCCGTTCTGAATAAAGCTCCTCCCACACACTGTGCATTTATACGGTTTCTCACCCGTGTGTTTCCTCTGATGGCGAGAAAGGCCACTGTTATAGTTAAAACTCTTTCCGCACTCCGTGCATTTGTACGGTTTCTGCCTTGTGTGGATCCTTTGATGGGACGTAAGATTATTGCTTCTACTGAAGCTCTTTCCACATTCCATACACTTGTATGGTTTTTCACCTGTGTGGATCCTCTGATGGGAAATGAGTTGTCCTTTCTTAATGAAGGTCTTCTCACATGCCATGCATTTATAAGGTTTCTCTCCGGTGTGGATTTTTTGATGGCAAATCAGGGCACTATTCCGAGGGAAGCTCTTTCCACACTCTCTGCATTTATACGGTTTCTCCCCCGTGTGGATCCTTTTATGACAAGTAAGATCTCTGCTTTCAATGTAGCTCTTCCCACAATCCATGCATTTGTATGGTTTTTCACCTGTGTGGACCTTCTGATGGCGAGTCAGATGACCATTTGTTCTGAAGGCCTTTCCACACACCATGCAGTTATATGGTTTCTCCCCTGTGTGGATTCTTCTATGACGAGTAAGATCTCTGTTCTCAATGAATCTCTTTCCGCACTCCAGGCATTTATATGGCTTTTCACCTGTGTGGATCATTTGATGGCGGAGGAGGTTACTGTTTGTACTGAAGCTCTTTCCGCAGTTCATGCATTTACACAGCTTCACCCCTGCGTGAAATTCTTCATGGGAATTAACGTAAGTGCTCAGAGTAAAACTTCTCCCAAATTTTATAAATCTATGTGGTTTGTGTTTCCCGTAGAGTTTTTTGGGTAAACCAAGAGAGAAGAAAGTATTAACATTTCTTTCATATTGTCCGCAACCGTACTGTTTCCTTTTAGCCTGGCTTCTACAATATTCATGTAAATTAAACATATTTTCCTCTCCTTGGCCACATCCGGCGTATCTTCCATTTGTGTTTTCTTCCTGAGCTTCCTGGATAAGAAATGGATGGATTTCAAAGGGGAGAGAAGTGGAAGAACTCTCTCCTCCATCTTCTGTGTTGCTTTCCTCTTGGCTTTTTGGACCCCCTTCGTGGCCAAACATCACTTCTTCCATTTCATACTCAGCTGTTTGCAGGGGTACTAACCATGCCTGCTGGTCGTTCTCATCGCTCTGCCCATAACCTGTTTGTAAAAAAAAAAAGGGAAAGAGAAGTTCCTGTTAGAATTTAGAAAGGTGAATGGGATCTCCTTATGAATATAATCCAGATTTCAAACTTGGCAACAGCTGTTGGACTATGGTAGGGAAGTAGTTTGGCAATTGTAACTTAAGATACTCTGATGGCATTTTGGGTTACTTTTCCATAGAGGATCACCTATACAGCCATGATTTGGTAGGACTCTGGGAGATGATGCAAATCAAGTGATGCCCGAAGCACCGTGACAAAAGAGAAGGGGCTAATCCAGCCAACATAGTAAAAATAAAATTTAGATCCAGTTTGGTCTAGTGGTTAAGGCACCCGACTAGAATCCAGGAGACTGTGACTTCCAGTCCTGCCTCAGGAATGAAAGTCTGTTAGGTGACTTTGAGCCAGTCACTTTCTCTTGGCCCAATTCATTCACAGGGTGGTGGTTGTAGGGAAAATAGAAGAAGGAAGCAATATTGTGTGTATTCACCGCCTTGAATTGTGTATAAAAATAATAAAGGTGGGAAATAAACAAACAAAACGCCCATACTCAGACCTATACACTGGCAATAGCAGTGACTCAATAGTTATCCAATCTTATTGTATCCACAGACTGCAGTCCAGATGGAAGAGATGATAGTAGGAGTATCTTTTATTTAACCCCTTTGAGAAATTGGCAAGCGCCCAGAGGACAATACTGCTCAAAATTAGAGGAAGCTGAGCAAATCGGGATGAGTTGACCAAAGGTTTGTCTTCCTAGCTTATGCGGAATTCTAGTTCTAAAGAGCTGGATACTTCTCTGTACATCTTTGATTCTCCTGTCTACAATGTGGATTCCTCTCTGCTAATGGGAAAGGAAATGCTATGTATAGGATAATGATAAAATGCTATTCTCTTCCAGCTTGGAGAAGGCAGGAATGTGCCCCATCATCAAGAAACTGTCACTCAACCTGGACATTCTGAACAAGTATAGAGAAGTTTCCTACCTCCTTTTTTGGTGGTTAAGAATGGGGTGGGGTTGCATCTGCTGAAATTTGATTCTGGAGGGGCGGGGTTCGGTTTATCCTGCACTGAACTGGCTTGTAATTTGGGGTTACCATTGAATGTTGTTCCTTGATGTGCAGCTGTGCCTGTTATCCCCCCTCTTGGAAAAGGGCGCTGCGTTCAGCCACTTATGCCTTTGTCACTGAGCAGCCAATGTTCTCTCGATGGGTCTGCTCTTGAAGATCCATTTTTATTAAGGGCCACTTGATTCATATAGTAAAATACCAGAAAGATCTATATGAAATAACTAAGAACAATTGCCCCGAGTATTATTTCATTAATGTAACAGAAAAAAGTAACCTGTGACATGAAAAGAGCTAAATAAAATACGGGAGAAATAGGTGTTCTTATTTGTAGTTTCCTCTGGATTCACAGATTCACACAGGTCCTTTTCTTGGCCAATGGAGAAATATTGCGTCTTCTTCTTGGGTGGTTTTTCCTCTCTGTTGGCCTTGCCAAAAGACTCTGGACATCCTGGCCGTTTCCCATCCAAGAACAAACCACATCAAATCATGTCATGCCCCTGTTGGAATCTGATTCAGAGGGGGAGGTGGAACAGCTGACAGGGAGTGGGAGTGCGGCTCCATTGGCTGTGGAAGAAACTGGGGAAGGGCAAAGTCTGGCTGGGCAGAATAGGGGAGAGGTAGAGCAAGGGAGAGGGAATTCAGAGGAAGACCCAAGCCCATCACCTCTTCATCCTAAGGCATGCAGGGAGGAACAGAGAAGGGAGCAACATGAGTTGTATGGCTTACGGGGGAGGAAAGGGCCCTGATTCCCTTCATTAGCTGCAGTTGGAACACAGTGTTTAAAAAGGGAAGCTGCGCACAGTAAGTTGTTGTGAGCAATCGTGAATTTATCTGGTATCATCATGGCTTATCTGTGTTCCTGGCATCTTCCCAACTGTGTGAGTTTTGCCGTGCTTTCAAGTCTGAAAGTCCTTCTCCTGCCCTGTCAAATTAATTACTGCAGTTTGGTTTGTTTGGATTTTTAGTTACAGTCTGTATATACCTTGTTTTGGACTGATTTTTCTCCAGTTAAAGGCTGTTCCTGCGAGAGTTTTTCTCTAGCTGAAGGTAACCTGGACATTGGGGGCAAAGTTGGAGATAATAAAGGGACTCTTCTTCCTTGTTTGACTGTGTTGCCTTTGTGCCAGGCCCTGGGTCATCACAGATCCTGTTTAATTTTTGGAGATTAGGAAAGTGGTAATTCATGTAGTGGTCTGGTAGGAGTCTGCACCACCCTAGACCGATGCATAGAAATATGTTCCCTGACTTCCTATCCCTAAAAATCTCTAATGAATGGAGCAAAGAGCGGGTCTTACCCAGAGCGGCTATATTCAGAAATATCTCTAGCATGACCTCCCTCCACAAGGCTTTTTGGCTCCAATCGAGTAGCGCCCATTCCTCCGGCGTGAAGTCCACAGCCACTTCCTCAAAGGATATGAAGCCCTAAAAGAAGAAGATAGTATCATTCACCAGACAATCTCGGGAACAACTTAAGTGCAGGTTTTTTTCACTTGGGAAATCTGTACTTCATGTTATTGATTTTTAAGTGAATATTCTTCTGTATTTCTGTAACTGGTTATGCTTTTCTTATTGATTCAATTTTATTTTATTTTAACATAAACTCATAGAATTAAAGTAGATGTTTTAGTCCAATACCTTTCCAGAGTTTATTATGTAGATTCTCAGTCATCCGGGTCATGGCAGGCATCATCAATCCACAACAAAGTCCTCCCAAAAGGCTCCACACCTATGTGGACCACTCAGGTAACCCCGATGACACAGATAAACCTCCCGGTGACCTCAACAACTCTTTGAAAGAATGCAAATGACCAGGCTGATTGGAAAGATGGTTTCTTGATGGACAGGACCACATAGGTTTGAGGTCCAGGGCAGATGAACACATAGAGGAGAGAGAGAGAGAGAGAGAGAGGTATTTATACCCTCTCTTGGGCCTTGCCCTTAAGCTTCCTGTTCCTGTGCAAGAAATGTATTCTATTGGTTGTCAGACTCCCAGAGGGCTATGCGGGGGACATAGCTGAGGTTGTCTGAGATAAGTTTGGTTGAACCTTGTTGGATGATGCAATGAAGGGGTTTGGTTGTGCCATGTGGTACCTCTGCTGATAATCCTATTATGTCCAGGAGGGTCATGCCTTAATCCCTGGAGCTGAAGGTCTAATTGTCTTGTAAGTAGGCTGGCCCAGTCCTGCACAATAAGCCCCAAATATCTGCTGGGTGCAGGGACCTGCCCTTTGTCTTTAAAAACATGTTTCTCCTTTTCTCATCCAGAAAAATATAATATTCTGCCTTTTTTAATATTCCCTAGAATATTTCATTCTTCTAGGAGATGATGCTAACTTTCTGCAAAATCTTCCCAGGCGGCTTCCGACAAGGCAAAGTAAATGAGGGAAGCTGAATTCGCTTAATGATGGTGTAATTCACTTAATAACTGTAGTGATTCACTTAACAACTATGGCAAAAAAGGTAGTAAAATGGAGCAAAACTCCCTTAACCCCTGCTTTGCTTAGTAACCGAAATTTTGAGCTCAACTGTGGTCATAAGACGAGGAAGTTACCTCATGACTTGTATTAACTTGCCTCAGGTAAAAAGGGGGCGGGGGAAAAAGAACATTAATTTCTCTCAACAATAAATCGCATTTATTACAATACCAGCCTCTTGACTTGTACATTTTCTTTTTGTAGCTCAGCAACAGTCCTGAAGGATAGACTAAACTGAATATGACTCAATGGGTCACTGGAGCGTGGCCTCCGCGCCGTCTTTTCCTGAGGAACAGGTTGTGCACTGAGCCCCGTACCAAACAGTCTCCTGTTGGGATTCATCCCCCTACCTGAGTTGGTGGCAGACATGCTACTTCTGCTCCATCACAAACAGGTACCATTTCATAGGTTTCCATTGATGTTCTTCCCTGCCCTGTTAGAGAGAGAAAGGGGAGGGAAAACAGATTATTGTAGGGTTGTGTGAATAAGGTCTGGGAATGCACAATAAAGGCCTAGAATTGTATTGCCAAAGCAGCTCACGAATAAGAGCTTAGGCTCTCAGAAGATACCTTCACTTACATGGGGAAGTGAGCTGAGGTGGGTCTTCTTGTGGGATCCTCCAGAAAAGCTCCCGAGAAGGACTGGGTTGATCTCTTCCCTGGGAGTCTGCTGAGATCTCCTCCATGAACAGTTCCTGTATCTAAAAAAAAACCAACCTGGTTTATTACCCACTTTCTGATGACCATGACTATAATAGCTTCCTTGCTTTGCCTTCTACCCAAACCCAAATCCATCTTTGTATTTGGCGATTTCTGCGCCTCTTTTGATTATTTGCTCTTTTTATTCTTTTTTTATTTTTACCAGATCTTCCTCTACTTTTGTTTCTTTATTAAATTTGTTTCCTGCCCATCTCATCACAACTCTGAGTGGCTTATTTTTGCTCTTATTTTTTTCCCAAAGATGTAGCCCTTTCTTTCATTGTGGTTTTAATAATGTCTGCTTAGAGTCCCGACAGCACAATGGTTAGAATGCAGTATTGCAGGCTGACTCTGCTCACTGCCAGGAGTTTGATCCTGACTGACTCTGTTTTCCATCCTTCCGAGGTCAGTAAAACAAAGACCCAGATTGTTGGAGGCAATATGCTGACATTGTAAACAGCTCAGAGCACTCCAAAGCACTACGGGGTGGTATATTTGTCTAAGTGCTATTAGTATATATTCCACCTGTAGTATTTTGACTTAAATTTAAGGATGCTTGTTTTTTTTGTTGCCTTTTGCAATGGGGAGACCACTAGCCTGGCAGTTAAAGCACAGCGGCCTTGTAATGCTTTTGTAGGGAAGGCACATATCCTAAGCCTATTAAAATTGAAGTTGGAGGGCAACTCGAGTAATGTATTCCATCCAGTCCCTAACTACCTATTCAGTTTAAAAGTTCAGTTTTACCTATTCTTTCCAAATATGTAGGCTACGTTCCATTTTAAGCACCAAACAATAGCATTCATGTCTCATTTGGTATCATTTTTTTCACTGTCTGACAATTCTTTCGACTAATTTGCATCTGTGCAATGTACCTATGCTTTTTTCTTTCTTTTGTATTATAAAAAAAAAAAGGAACCTAGGAGAATAGTTCCAGAAAAGATGGACAAGGCCTTTAAATAATTTAGGAATTCAGGTCATTGCTTGTCATATTATCATCTTAGAAAGGTCCCGGGATGGAAGTCTCTCACCTGCCCCTTTGCTAGCTCCTCAGGGGCTGTGGGGCCGAGCAGGAAGCCTTCAGCCAGGGCCACCGCCTGGGCGCAGCTCTCCGCCCCGCACTCCCTCAGCCAGCCCGACAGCTCCGGGGGCAGCAGGGCCAGCAGCTGCTCCAGCACCACCAGGTCCAGCATCTCAGCTTTGCTGCTCCGCTCGGGCTGCAGCCACCCCCGGCACAGCCGGTGCAGGCGGCTGCAAAGGGCCCGGGGCCCCTCGGCCTCCCAGTAGCGGCAGCTGCGGAAGCGCCAGCGCTCAGCCTCGGAGCTGCAGGGACCCTCGGAGATGCTTCTTGGGCTGCCACTTCCCCCAAAGTCCCCTCTGCTTCCAGACCAAATGACAGGCTCCCAGTTTTGGACGGCTCCTCTCCCTGAAGACCAGAGGAATTCCATTCTACCTAGTCAAGTCACTTCTCCACAAAGTTGACTTTCAATCCATCAATCAGAATAGAGCTGGAAGGGACCTTGGAGGTCTTCTAGTCTGACCCACCCCCAGCCCTGCTCAATACCCTATGCCATTTCAGAGAGGTGGCTGCCCAGTCTTTTCTTAAAAGCCTCTTAAAAAGCCACAACTTCCTAAGGCAAAGCTGTTCCACTGGTTCATCGTCCTCCCTCTTAGGAAGTTCCTCCTTTAATTCCACTTCGATTAAATAACAGTCCAACGATCTTAGGATAGCCTCATAAATATTGATCTCTGTTGATTTGTTTTCCTGGGAGACATCCCAGGCAAGATCCCGTGCCTTCCTCTTCCAAATTCAAAGGGCAAAAACAACAACCACCACCAAGAACTGCAATCCACACGCCAATTTGTCTCCCGTCTGAGCAACGCGTCCTATGCAGAAGTCCCACTTCCCCGAGGGACCCTCCAGGATCAGGAAACGGGACCCTTGCGGAACCGAGGACGCGGGCGCTTTCCACTCTCTCCGGATCGCTGCAGGTACCAAGATCCACCCGGGGATCTGCAGGATAGCCAAGGAGGGGGATGTCAGTCTCTGGTGCGGGGCTTCTCCGTCTATTTTCAACGCTGGGGCGGGGTGGTGGTGGCAAAAGGATCCTTCTCCCAACACTCAGCAGCCCCTTCCCAGCCTTCCTGGTTCAGCCCGTTTTTGGAGGGTGGGAATTTGCAATTCGGCTTCCTCGCTTTTTTTTTCTTTTCCTTTTTGCTGGTGAAAACAACAAGCCGCTCCCCGGCCTCCCGCGGCCGCCCTCTTTGTCTGCAAGCGCCTCTGCATGAGGGCGAGAGAGTGCTCTTCCTAGAGAGGCAAGGGCTTTTTTTTTTTTTAAATGCGATCCTCACTTCCAGGCCTCCCGCTCAAGCTTCACAAACGAAGCTTTAGGACGCATGCTCAGCTTTCATTCGCCCGTTATCCCTTCCCAGAGCGTCTCGCCTCTCTAGGAAGGGAGCGCTAAACGCTCGGCCTTCTTCCCCTTCCGGGAAGGCGAGGAATGGGGGGGTGGGAGTCATGGCGGGATGGGGGAATCTGAGCGTGCGTTGCCGTCGTTCTTCCCAGGAGGAGCCAAGCGAGGAAACGGGACCTCAGATCGCTGGAAATCTGGGAAGGGGTTGAGGGGTGACTGGGGAGAGGGGAGACCATTTTATCCCCCAGTAGGCAAACAGGAGGAAGCCCTCTCTGGCTTTCCCTGCAGCTCCCCGGCTTGGAAAGGATTTTCCCGGCTTATATTTGAAGGGGCTTTTGTCTGGGTGGCTCTCCAGCCTCCTCTAAGGATCAAGTGTTAGGAGTGTGTGTGTGTGGATCCTTCTCTGTTTGGAAATCCTGGATCTGGATCTGGATCTGAGGTGTGGAGAGGAGCGCTCTTCTCTGACCAAACCTTCTAGAAAAGGAGTGCCAGTAAAAAAAAAAAAAATTAGCTGCCCCCTGAATACGGGTAATCCTCGAGTTATAACGGTTTACTTAGTTAGTAACTATTCAAAGTTACAAGAGCACTGAATGAAGTGACTTTTGACCCTTTTTCACAGTTTCAACCTTAACAGCCTCCCCAGGGTCATCTGATCAAAATTCAGATGCTTGGCAACTGACTTGTGCTTATGACCGTTGCTGTGTTCCAGACTCGTACGATCCCTTTTTGCAACCTGACAAGCAAACTCAATGGGAAAGGCAGATTCAGTGACCTATCCGGGTTACTGACTTCACTGATTCACTTAACAACTGTGGCAAGAAAGGTAACATGGGGCAAAATTTAGTTAACAAATGTTTTGCTTAACAACAGAAATTTTGGGCTCAATTGTGGTCCTAACACGAGGTCTACATGTAGGACAGCTGATTATCATGGAAGAGAAGAGGGAGTTATTCCCCGTCTGAAAAGGCTGCTGATTGCAGGTCTTCCTGGACTTCTATTGTGGAGGGATTTTAATCAAACGATCCAATGGCATAAACTTCTCCAAGCAAGAGCATCATGATTCTCTGCAATTGGATTGCAAGGGCTACAGTTCTCTGCTATTCTGATTTTTGTTTTGTTTTGTTCTGTTTTTCAGTTCGTGTTTAGATTGGAATATGCGAGCATGATAATTTGCTTTTTTAAACTGATTATGAAATGTGTAAGCCGCCCATCTCTCCAAGCGGCGACTCTGTTAACTTGCTTTTGAAGTGACTCCTTGTCTAGATTGCAAAATAAATCATAGCCAAATCCTGGTCCTATAAAATATAGATGTTGTGATTAAACATTGCTCTGTAAACCAAGACATTTTTGGTTCCTCTTGGAGATGCGTTAGAGCAGAAATATAACAAAAAATAGATATGCAAAGGTCAACAAGACTGAGAGCAGAAAAAGACTCTCCTGCCATTCAAATTGGAAACAGTGGAGAATTTTGGAAAACAACCAACCAGAAGATCCCCCATGAGGGCACTATCAGGTCAGATGTTCAGCATTGGCGCTTCCAGCATTTCTGCTATCAGGAGGCCAAGGGGCCCCGGGAAGTTTGCAGCCAACTTCACCAGCTTTGCCATCGATGGCTGAAGCCAGAAAGGAGCACCAAAGCCAAGATGCTGGATCTGGTGGTCCTGGAGCAGTTCCTGACCGTCCTGCCCCCAAAGATGGAGAGCTGGGTCAGAGAGTGTGGAGCTGAGACCTGTTCCCAGGCAGTGGCCTTGGCTGAAGGCTTCCTTCTGAGCCAGGCAGCAGACAAGCTGGGGATGAAGCAGGTGAGAGACCTTCATCCTTGTAGCTGAAAAGGATTACAATGTATCTAGCAACGTCCATTATTTCTTAAGTGCCTAGTCAATCTTTCTTGGAATGTATAATTGGAGATTTTTTGTATTAGCCAAATGATTCTGTTTCCCTTACCAGATAATTCCAGAGGAAGAACCTCAGACTGTTCTCTCTCTCTCTCTCTCTCTCTCTCTCTCTCTCTCTCTCTCTCTCTCTCTCTCTCTCTCTCTCTCTCTCTCTCTCTCTCCCTCCCTCCCTCCCTCCCTCCCTCCCTC